TATAACAAATAGATCCTGAATAAGAACTCTTTTCACCTTACTTGAAGTGCGGATAGTTAAATTTGACCTAAATTGCTATATGTGGGCCACATAACTTCATTGAATTTCGCTTATCGCTGTCTGCAAAGGTAATCACCTTCATGGGTGGCGGCGATTTTAACCTTTTCTTGGTCTCACAGCTCCCCTAACGGTAATATAACTCAAATAGTGCAGGGCTTATTTTTAACAATTTACTACATTAAGACAATCCAGTGGACAATTTTTCTATTCCTGTAAAAGCAAGATGTGTTAATCCTATTTCATTTCAGGTACTGAAGGACTGGTAGTTTAATATTCTCATGATAATATGAGTAAACCTTATTTTTCACTGAATTTCATATAGCCTTGATTTACAAAAAGTATTCTTCTCCAGGGTGGACTGCAATTTCGACCCCGCATAGGTATCATTTGCACCCCCAGAAGGACCTTAAACATTAAAGTGCCGCGTATAATCTCGACACGTTAACTATTACACCACATTGCCGCTAATGCCTTTGGGTCGCAATGCAGATGTGAATTTCAAGGAGGGCCAGGCCTTTTTCCAATCACATTCTTTGATAGGATTGTAGTTTTTATAACTTGGTCGAGTTGTCGGAGCGACTTAGTTGGACGAACCTTGCCTAAATTCCTATGCTTTATTAGTTATTTTAATTCCCCGTACCGGACCATGGATTTGGTACATTCTTATACGTTTTACCGGTATCTTCAATGCGTCCTGCCATTCTCAGCACGGAGCTACAATTCGTCAAAAGGAAAAGTGAAGTCGGTCCATTGACCAACTTTCTGCCGAGACATTTGTACTATCAGTCCTTTCTGATGGCCCATATATCTACTTTTACCTCTTATCTCGCCCTATCACATCTTCTTACGATATGCCACTCCTCCAGAGGTGTGCCCTTTCTTGCAAATTTATGTGGTGTCACTACACCGGCTGTTCACTATGCACCTCTCTTTCGATCGGCTACTCCGAATCTGGCCTCCTATTTGGATCTCCCTCATAGTACCATAGATCCGTTTCTTATCTTTCTTGTTGACCGACTTTATTCACTTCCAATTCAATTACACGTTTCACTCTAGGCGCTATTTCTCTAGCCTTTAAAAGCACGTACAATGTCGCCTGACCGAGCAGAGCTCATAGACTCCGATTCCCATGTTTCTAGATGTTTGCCTTCTCGCGTCGTCTCTGATTTTGCCCGTGTAGACTGAGAAAGTTTTTCACGTCTATATCTGATAACCCACTGCCTCTAAATGTGAATTTCTAGTCAATTTGGTGAGGGTTGTGGTTATCCCTAATCGCGTGATTGCCATACACAGAAAGTTGCAGTTTTTCTTCGAGCAGGCTAGATTTAATGAGAACGACTTCGCTTGATTTCAGAAACGTCTTTAACCGCTTCTTCCTTGAGATCCATTTTCTTTTGATTAACGATAGATCCTAGATCCAGGCGTCTCGTTTTTTATCTTTATTATCGTACCAAGTTTGCTTTGGCTATGGGCATAATTGTCGCTAACGGCCTTCTTCCAATCTCCTGTTCATTAAACTTCTTTCCCCAAGGATGTCAATGGCCTCCATACTCTTCCGTTTCCTTGTGCCTTCATCCGATAAGGCCCTTCGTTTTGTCGCCTTCCAATTGATCGTGTCCAGTTTGTGCGATTTTTCTTGTTATTTTTGACCTTTCGGTATCCATTTTCCTACTGAGCCTTTGATCTTCCTTAGTACTTGGGCTGATTTTTCCCTGCTTCATCAATATACTTCTCTTCGCAGACCCCGCATGCTATTCAAGAAATTCCCAAACAATCCTATTTGTTCACTCTGTCATGTTGCTTTGATAGACTTGTGAATAGTTTTGTTTTTTCTTAATATTCAATTTTCTTACTATTGGCAGTCATTTTTGAGTTAGCCCACATGGAGACACTTCCACTTTTATGAGCCTTTTTACCTTCTTACTGTTCTTTCATAACCCCCATCCTGCCATCTGCTTTTCATGGTCAGTATGTTTCTTTGTATTACTTTTCTCGGGCATCCGTTGCCGAGGCATATCCGAGTCAACTTTTAATATTCTTCATCCCAGAATTCCACGTCCGTTAAACGCAGGTTCATGATGATCATGCTCCTCAGTATTCCTATATTCAGTCTCCATTTTTTTATGAGACCCATAATTTAGTATTATTCCGGCATATTACTTCATTCTGAAAGAGTTTCCCTTTAGTGTCCCATTAGATCGAATGATTTCAACAGCTAGAAAAGGTAAACTCTCCTTTAATTCTATTGTGATCTTTATTCTTTCACCAATCTGATTTTTAGTCTACAGGAAATCCTAAAATTTTTCTCTTCCATGCGACCAAAATGCGAAATAGTCATCCGGATACCGCATGAGCACTCTTGGTTGCAGCGTTTATTTCTTGTCATCTTCTAATTTGTTCACATATATAATGGCCTAAAAGTGCTGACAGCGGTGATATCATAGGAAGTTCAAATATCTGTTCATTAATGTTACCGCTGAATTTGAAGTAGTTAGTTCCTTTTGTCAAGTTGATTAAACCCTTATCCTCTCTGCTTCCAATATATTTCCCTCTCGGGGACTTCGATCAAAATGGAGGTCTCCATATCAAAGTTATATTTGCTATAGCAATCGAATACTTTGAAGTTCACATCTGCCCTGTGACCATAGAAAACTCGTGTTGATGTGGTATAGTATATAACTTGTCGAGATTATTTGTTGCACTGTCATGATTCGATTCCTGTTTGGGGTGTTGTTGAGGTCTAGGCGAATTCAAAAGTGCAATCAACTCTGAATACGAATACATTTTGGGAAGCGAGGCTGTTTGAAATTCATTGAAATCGTAGGATCTACCCATATCATTGTTGAAAAATTCGATTGCCAGTCCTTCATCACCTTAAATGAAGTACAGTGAGCACATCTCATATAGCTGATTTACTGGTAGTCTCTAAAGCATACTTAAAAACGAGAAATGCTAGGCCTCTGTCATATAAGGGATAGCATCAGAGCCAGATACCATTTTTACAACTATATCAACCTCATTTGTCAATAAAACTCAGCGGCTTGTCCAAATATGGTGTATATCTACTCTAAACATATGTATGTTTATGAGGTATATAGTAGTGCGTTTTTTCATGTAATGTTGTCAATCCAGAGACATTTGTGTGTATGCTTGTGTCTGCATATGCGGGTTCATGGGTATGTGAACCTATGAAACTAGCAGCATTAGGTCCAAGTAATTAGAACAATCTATAAGCTCTTTTCGCAGAAGTCAAATTTTACTTACCTTTTTTAAACCATCACTGATTGCGTGAAGTGGTCACACATCAGATTAAGTCTATGTTCTTTTTGCTTGTGCGAGCGCTTGTTTATACCTACCTAGATCATTAACCATATTGTCTCTATCGGTTATTCCTGCACTTATTATACTAATTAATATTAAAAAATCAACCTTTATTTTGTGATTATGGCTCAGCTTTCACCAAATAGTGAGCATGACTGAAGTAAGTTTTATGATTTCTTTTAAAATTGCTTTTTAACAAGTGGTCACAAAGGCAAAGTCAGGATCGGAGAAAGGGTCTCTTTTGTCAGGCCATTACGACATAAATAATGAAAATGCTGCAGAATAAACAGGTTTTAACTTCTTTTCTTAAGTAGGCTTAAAAATCCCCACTAACTAGGTCTTTACTTCTTGCCTTGACTGTTGGCTCATTTCTTTATCCAGAAAGAAAGTGTGGTTAACTTTACTCTTTAGATTGACAACACTATATCCATTTTTCTTTATCGAGTAGGCTTTCAAGACTACCAGTAAATCAGATATATGAGCGGTGTTCACTCTATTTAATCTTGGGTGATGAAGGACCGGTAGGTGAATTTTCCCACAATGATATGACTAGACCTTAAGTTTTCATTGAATTTCACATAGCCTTGCTTTCACAAAAGGTGTTCTCATCTAGGGTGAACTTCATTTTCGACCTGCTCTAGGTCTTATCAGCACTTCCAGCGGGAGTCGAACCATGACGGTGCAGCGTGTAAGCTCGACACGTTAACCACTCCACCACATTGGCACGAGTGTCCCTGGGTCACAGGACAGATGCGAATTTCAATTAAGGTTAGGCATTTTCCATATCACATTCGGTGTTAAGATTGTCGATGAAGCAAACTTACATTTGCTATAGCAATCAACCGCATTACTTTATTCGTTATTGAATAGGTTTTTGAGACTGCCTGTAAATCAGATATATGAGATGTGTTCACTCTATTTCGTCTTAGGTTATGAAGGACTGGTAGTTGAGTTTTCCCATAATGGTATGAATAGAGCTGACGTCCTTCATCACCTTAGACCTGATAAGTTAAATACGTCTCATATATATGATTTAC